TTAGAACAATACAATGGATACAATGAAGGGGTTCATGGAGAAGTAAAATTTGTTTACCTTGACCATATAACTGTGTGATCCTCACACAAACAAAAGAAAGTGAACTTGGCAAAACATCCTGCCTATCCCTGTCTCCAGGTGAAGGCCAGGGGTGGAAACACGTTTTTTTCTTGTCGCTGAGAACTCAATAACAAAGCAGCCTGACAAACAGGTAGCTCTCCACAGATTGGAATTGGCTGGCTCCTTGGAATTAAGTCCTCTCAATACTACTTATAATAAATCAGACTTGTGTTCCATTAAATAGCATAGACATATGATAATTATGCTGAATGAAAGAAATAACAACGAAGAATCCAAGAGCTAGATAGATGGCTCAGGTGTTTGTTTTAGAGGAATGGGTTCAGTTCCTAGAACCCACAGAGCTGCTCACAATTGTGATCTCTTGGCTTTTAAGAATACACATGCGGGGGCTGGGGAGACAGCGCGCAGAGGTTAAGAGGACTGGCTACTCCTCCAGAGGTCCTGAGTTCAATTCCCAGCAACGACATGGTGGCTCACAACCATGTAGAATGAGATCTGGTGCCCTCTGCTGGTGTGTAGGTGTATATGCAGATAGACTATTGTATACATAATAAAGAAATAAACCTTAAAAAAAAAAAAGAAAAATCTGTTGAAAAAAAAAAAAGAATACGCATGCATGTGGTACACAGATGTACTGATAACACCCACACATATAAATATTTTTTAAAAAGTTCATAATAGATAATTGCATTTTTATAAAAATTGAAACACTAGGACTAGGAATGTAGCTCAGTCAGTAGAGTGCTTGCCTGGCAAGCATAGAAACTAAATCCCCAGCACTCTATAAAGTTGGGTGTGGTGATACACAACCTGTAACCCAGTTTTCAGAAACTGGAGGCAGGAATATCAGAAGCACAAGCTTATCCTTGGCTACATTGCAAGTTTGAGGCCAGCCTGGGCTACGTGAAACCATCTTTAAAAAAACTTCGTTCCCCAGTTGGTGGTGAGTTTGGAGGTTTTGGAATCTTTAGGAGATGGGGCCTTGCTGGAGAAATTGAAAGACCCCATATCCCCCTGAGTTAAACAGAGTTAGACATAGCTAATGCCATTTTGCAGTGTACCACAGTTCTGGGAAAAATAGTAAAGGCCGGATGGGAACTAAAAATTACTCTGAGAAAATCCAGCAACTAAGTCAGTCACTCCCCTCAAGATTTCTGCGGTCAAGGCTGCCCTAGCTGAGCCAAAAACAAAACAACTTTGTCCTGACCACCCTCATGGGATATCTGACAGGTGGTCCGGCTGAGATAAGAGTCCTGAGAAAAGCAACATATGGCGGCACTAGTCAAGGCCGTCATAATTGTTATGACCACCCAGTTCCTGGAATTCTGATGTCCCTGCCAACTTGATTCATGTTATGGTTTCCTCTCGCTTTGCTTCTGTATCAGTGCTTCTGCTCAAACCCTATAAAAAACCCAGCTTTCTGCCCGGAAAGGCGCGTAAAGTCATCTGAGTGACTTTCCGCCCGGGTGCCTGTGTATCCAATAAAGCCTCTTGCTATTTGCATCCGAAAGCCTGGACTCGCTGATCTTTGGGAGGGGGTCTCTCAGACGAAAGATACCCCCTGGGGGTCTTTCAAAATAATATCACTGAGGTAGATTTTATAAATTTATATCCTAGCCTCACAGTTCTCTTTGCTTTCTCCTTGCTATTGAAGATGTGATCAGCTTCCTGCTCTGGCCATCTTCTGTCATGCTTTCTTTGCCATTCTGGACTCTCCTTTAGGAACCATAAGCCAGAAAAATAAAATAATGATAATTTTTAAAACCCCACCACTTTGTTCTATAAGTTGTTGTTGACTACTGTATTTTGTTCCAAGCAACAGGGAAGTAATTAGTTTGGTAATCTTGGCTAACCTATATATAAATCTCTTACTTTCACTTAATAGAATTTGTAGAATATCTAAATTGTGTCAAAGGGTAGATAAGTTTTAAGATGGTCTGCCTCTGAAGGCTGGTAGGAGAGAAATGCAATGGCAGTGCTAAATTTGTTTCTACTGGATGTGCTCAGGGAGGGCTAAGGAAATATCTGGGCCTGGGTGCTGGGGATGGCTGAGTTCTCAAGGATGAGAAGTGACTTTGGGGGTTAGTTTTTATTTTTATTTTTAATGGTGGTAGGGATGGAACTCAGGTTCTTACTCATGCCAGGCAAGTTCTCTACCACTAAGAGATACACCTCAGCCCCAGCTTTCAGTCTGTTGTGTAGGGGGATGGGTGGGTAGGTGTGTTTGAGATAGGGCCTTGCTATATAGCCCTGACCGGCATGATAATCACTACATAGCTCAGGCGGCTAGCCTCAGACTCAAGCACTCTTTCTATCTTTCTCTTACACACACACACACACACACACACACACACACACACACGGTTGCTAAGATTTCAGTTATGAAAGGGGAGGGAGAAAAGGGGGAGGGGAGAAGATAGGTGCATCCAGGTATTGCTGGCTAGCCAGTCTAAAGAAACAGGGAGCTCTAAGTTCACAGAAAAAGCCTGTCTGAAACAATAAGCTGGAGAAGGAATTAAGACAGCCTCTGGCCTCAATGATCCTTGATGAGTGAACCAGTTCACACAAGCATATATAATACACACACACACACACACACACACACACACACACACGCCACTCACAAATAATTAATTTAGGCCATAAAAGCATATTGGTTACTATAGAAGAAATCTAAGGATACTCTGGGTTTTCAGGGTGTGGGACCTATTATCAGGAGTGAGTACACCATTGATCTGAGTCTAATGAGGAGGCATTTGGGGCTATTACTTGGTATAATGGTGTTATTTTCCCTGGTGGCTCATAGAGATGCTATTGTGGACAGCTGGCTAGAAAACCATTAAAAGGAGGCAAAAGGCATCTGTCCATCTATCTGTATCTATCTATCTATATCTATCTATCTATCTATCTATCTATCTATCTATCTATCTTCTATCTATTTATTTAAGACAAGGTTTCTCTGTGTATGTAGCCTTGGCTGTCCTGGAACTGGCTTTGTAGACCAGGCTTGTGGGAAGCTGCTTCTAACATGACTATTCTGGCTTAACTCTAGCTCAGTCATTTTAGAGGCCATCACCATTTTCTTTACTAACCAAGCTTATAGTTCCTATTCCTCTGCCAGCTAGGACTTTCCCATAAATTAGATGATAGGCTGTTGCCATGGGAAACTTTAGGAGTTTGGTACTTGGAATTCTGCTTTCTGGCCTTGGTAGATATGGGTCTAATCTAGAGTTCCAGGACTGTCCTTGGCGGTCCTTGGGAGAGGAGTGTTCTGTTCCTGAGAATTATTTAACAAGTTCCGTGCAAGCCTGGGAGCCCAATAGTAATTTTTGTGTAGCCTTGAGTGAATTCTTGGATACCTTGCCAGTTGACGCAAATACTGATATTGTGAGAAGATTCATTTGTGATTCTTTGCTATATAAATGTATGCTTTGCCTTCATTAAATGAGACTTGATCAGATTCCTGTCTTGTCTCCATTCTTCGCATCTCTTCTCCCACCCCATTCTCTCCCCCTCTCTTAGGGTCTCATTTGACTGACCTGGGGGACGGGTCACAGGCTGACTTCAAACTCACAGAGATCCACCTGCTTTTGCCTTGTGAGTGTTGGGGTCAGAGGCAAATGTCACCACATTTGGCACTTTAAAAAAACCTTCATTTTTATTTTTAATATTGTTGTCTGTGGGTGTCTGTGTACATGAGTGCAGGTGCCCAAGGAGATGTGGGATGGAGCTGGAATCCCAGGCAGTTGTGAAGTACCCTGAATGGGTTAGGAAAGAGAACTCCGATTCTCTGCAAGCGCTACACATGTTCAACCCTGGGCTGCTTCTCTGTTCTCTAAACACCGATTTCTAATGTCTAATTACATTTATTTATTGTGGTGCTGGTGTCTTGGGGGGAAGCCAGAGGACGCTTGCTCTTCCATCTACTGTGTGAGCCTGAGGAACTCAGGCTGTCAGGCTTGGCAGTGGGAGCCACCTAGATACAGTCCAATTTTTGTTTTCTTTTGAGAGTGGGTCTCAGGTAGCCTAGGGTGACTTCTTCAGGGCTGAGTATTATGACCTTGAACCTCACCCCTCCACTCCTGAGTGCTAGAGATGAATCCCAGGGTCTCCTGCTACATAGGCATTCATAACAGCGGAGCTACTACCCCAGGCTAAATTCAGGTTTTGACTAGGCATCTGAGGAACATTTTTCAGTTTGTAAATTTAGATATAGCAACACGGTTTGCCATTTTCTTAGTTTGGGATTTTTTTTTTTTTCTTTCTTGTACATCATACCAGATTTTCAGTAATGAAGGTGAGAGGGGTTCATTTTAGAGCCGAATTGAGGAACCAGTGGGAAATTTGAAGTTAGAAAGGTGGGTTACGAGACCCCGAATCTGAGTCCTACAGGCTGAGAATAATCTCACACTGTGGCTTTATGATAAGGAGCCATATATTATGACTCATCACAACTGAATGTGTCATGAAAGCTCACCCACCACGCCAGATTCACACTCTAGAAGTGTGCTTGGGAACAGTGCTAGCAGCACGTCAGACTTCTCCGCTCAGGCGCACACAAGCTGTGCAGTTCCGCTCCGGGTCTGCAGGGGCTGACTGAGGACTCTGAGGAGTCTCCAGGCTACGGAGGTCCGGCTGCGCGCAGGAAGGGTCGGGAACGGAGCCCGGGCTTCCCAGCCGTCACCGCGGCTGCGCGCACCAAGTCCTTCCGCCTTCAGGTCCCGGCGGCCCTGTGAGTTCCAGCCGGCTCAGGCTTCCTCTCCCCAGAGAGGAGACTTAATGTACTTTTTTGTTTTTCCTGCGCTAGAAGGGCGAGTTGTCCACGAGGCCCCGTGCAGCTCGAGCAAAGTCCGGTAAGGCCGCAAGGACCACACTTAAAAGCAGACTCCTGCACTTTGTTTTGGAGGAAGGTAACGTGGTCACTGGCGCGGCTTGGAACTTAGCATTTTGTTTGCGTGGGACCAGGCCTGACGCTGTAGCCCCAGGCCTGCGGGGCAGCCCAGACTGGCTTGAATTAGTTGCCGTGGTGCCCGAGCGACGAGATTACAGAAATGCTCTACTGTGGCCTGCATTGTTGGCGTGTTTACTTTCTTATCAGTGCGTGCACATCTGTGTGCGGAGACCAGAGTGTGTCCCCAGAAGCTAGAGTTACATTCTTCTGGCACACTTCTGCCATGTCTGGGCGCTGAGAGCCAAGCTCTGTTCTCTTAACGCCCTAGCCTTCTCAAACCAGAAAATTCCTTCGTTCTGTCTGTCTCTTCTGGAGGAGGGAGGAGGAGTCAGAAAGATTCCCTGGCAGGCAGGCAGATAGGTAAGAGGGGCCATGGATGGGTAAGCTGGCTGGTTTTTCCTCACTCTCCTGACCTGAGACAAAAGCCTGGCAACTTAAAACAAAAGCCTTGTGAGCTTTTTCTCCTTCCAGCAGGTTGCCTGCTGATGGACTGGCTCGGCAAATTCAAGGCCAGATCAGGACATTTTTTCAGAATAGTTGTCCATTCAGCCATCCTGTCTTTCTTCAAAGTGACCACTACTAAATTAGGGGAGGAAGGCCCTTCAGAGACTTAATCCCTAATCCTCCAGAAGACACTGTAATTTTCACCTCCCCAAGCGGCCCTCTGCTTTAGAGGTGCATTTTCTATCTGTGTGTTTGCTGCATGCCTGCATGTTTCCTCATCTCCAATAAAAGCCTTTCTTCAACTGCTGATTCTGTCTGCTCTTGTTTTCAGTGTTTGAGACTTCTCTGCTAGCTGTGGAGCTGGAAAGTTTTCTTGCTTTTTAATTCTTTAACTGGTAGAGAAAACTGAAGCCAATCAAGAGCCCCTAGGCAGTGGCACCACCTCAGCCAGGTATTTCTGGGTGCACTGACAGGTCTGGGTCGAATTCAGCCCCTTTTCTTAATCACTGTCTCTTTCTCCCATGGAGATCCGCTTGCCTCTGCCTCCCTAGTGCTGGAATAAGAGGCAAGGTGTACAGTATCATGCCATCTTTCCTATAACACAATTTGAGTACCTACCTAGATTGGCTTTATAACTTCGTCAGTGCTGGGAAGGTATGATGTCCTAATACACAGTCATCCCATATTGCTGTGTTGGAAAAGCTCAGCTGCTAGAGTGCTTGCCTAGCATGCATGCAGCACTGGCTAGCAACAATAAAGCTGGAGTCCTGAGAGACCAAAGAATTAAAAATTAGTTTTTTGAGTTATTGACTTAAAGTTTAAAGCATAAGCCTGAACAAAGGCCAGCCAGGTGGAGACATGTCCAGCCACCTGCGGGGAGGAACCAGCCTTACTGCATTCTTTTCCTGCCCACTAGAGATACAGTAACAGGGCCAGATGGCCTGGCCTGAGCCACTTAAAGATACCATCTCCTGCCAACACACCCAGATGGCCAGGCCAGAACCATTTATGGACCTGGTGCCTAAAGTAAACCAATCATTTCAAAAGTCAGTTTCCTTTACCCAGTTGTGTAACACCAGGGCTTGGAGCCCTCTCTTGCCCCTCCCCCACAGTCTTGCCCTTTAAAAACCTTGTTTCCCTAGACCTCCCCCCCCCCCCCCACTCCTCCTCTTCAACAGGGAGGTTGCTGGGCCCCAGGCTCAAGTTTTTACCAAATAAACCCTCATGTGTTTTGCAGCAGAGTAGATTCCTGGTGGTCTTTGGGGGGTCTCACGAACTGGGTATAACACCATAACACTTGTGATATAGGAGAATTAAGAAATCAAGATCAGAAATATAGAGAGTTAGAGGTCAATCTGAAAATGGAAAAATTGGGAAATGAAATTGAAAAAAAAAAAAAAAAGGAGCTGGAGTGATGGCTCAGAGCACTTTCTGTTCTTGCAGAGGACCAAGGTCAGTTCCTGCTACCCATGTCAGGCTGCTAACAGCTGCCTCTAAGGGGAGCTGGGGCTCTGGCCTCTGCAGACAAGTCACATACACTCAGACACGTAAATAAACAACAAGCCAGGCACAGTGGCACAAGCTGTTAGTCTGAGCACTCTGGAGGCATACACAGGTAGATCTGAGTTCAAGGCCATCCTGGTCTGCATAGCTCCAGGGCAACCAGAGATACATAAAAGAGAGACCCTGCCTCAAAAACAAACAAACAACAAAAGATGGTATTCTGCATTCCTTCTCAACAAAAGTATACTTTTGATTATATTTTAAGTTTAGGCTTGGTAAAATTGAATCAATAAGAAATTTTTATTTATTTATTTATTTTTCTAGTACTCTGCCTGCATGTACACCTGCACATCAGAAGAGGGTACCTGATTGCATTATAGATGGTTGTGAGCCACCATGTGTTTGCTGGAAATTGAACTCAGGACCTTTGGAAGAACAGCTGGTGGTCTTAATCTCTGAGCCATCTCTCCAGCACATTGATGTTCTTTTTTGTTTTGTTTTGTTTAAGATTTATTTATTATGTATACAGTGTTCTGCCTGCATGCCAGAAGAGGGCACTAGATCTCATAATAGATGGTTGTGAGCCACCATGTGGTTACTGGGAATTGAACTCGGGACCTTTGGAAGAGCAGCCAGAGCTCTTAACGGCTGAGCCATCCCTCCAGCCCCCATTGATGTTCTTTTATTACAATAAAATCCAAGCTCGGTGTGATGGCATATACCTATAATATCAGCACTCAAGAGACAGGCAGGAAAATCACTACAGGCTTGAGGTCAGCTTGGTCTACATAGTGAATTCCAGTGCAGCCTGGGCTATAGTGCTGGTCTATGTTTTATTTGATGGATATGAGTGTTTTGCCTACATATGTATAAATACACTGTGTGTGTGTGTGTGTGTATGTGTGTGTCTGTGCTCTCAACTGCTGAGCCATCTCTTAAGCAAGTAAGTCTATCCTAGAAACAAAGCAATCTTCATTTTCTTCAAGACTGTTGTAAAATAAAATGCCTGTGTATTTGTCATTATGATTACTAAAAGGATTTCACAAAAAAAAAAAAAAAAAAAAAAAAAAAAAAAAAGAGCAACTAGATTTCTTTGCCCAGACTGGTCAGCCAACGCTGTCCTTTTAAATGAACCTGCGCTTTGCAAGCTGTCTGATAGCGCATACACCAGCTTACTTTCTTGTATTGTGGAAGGCTGTGGACATGTTGGCCGGACTAAGAATTTTCAATATTGCTCATTTGTTGTAGAGATCCAGAAATTCCTGTCAGCTACGCGGAGAGGCTGACCCTCATTCTCTCCGCTTGGGAAGCAACCCTTTTTAGCAGCAGCACTGACAGAACCTGAGGTCTGGAGAAGCACTAATGGCTTTCAGCCTGGGTTGGAAAGCTCCCAGGGGCCAGTGGAGTTTCCTGCAGGCTGTGAGCCGTGGCTTCCCCCTGTTCCCCTGGAGGACAGTGGGGAATGGTTTGAATCCCCAGATGAAAGCCTACCTGGAAGAGAACACTGAAGTCACCAGCAGTGGCAGCCTGACCCCTGAAATCCAGTTACGGCTTTTGACCCCCAGGTGCAAGTTCTGGTGGGAAAGAGCTGAACTCTGGCCCTACAGTGATCCATACTGGGCAATCTATTGGCCAGGAGGCCAGGCCCTGTCTAGGTACGTCTTATTGAAATGTTGATCCTTTTTCTTTTCAGCACCGACCCCCACCTCCATCTTATTCTCTCTGGCCCCATATCTTAGCAGCAAAACCTGAAAGTCACTGGGGCTCATCAGGTCCCAACCTATGTATGGTTTGGATTGCCACCCTTCTTGTAAAGCAGAAGCAGGTTTATCCTGCAGGAAGACAGGACAAAGTCATCTCCAAAAAGGCTCACACAGTCACCCATGACAGTGTGCCATGTAGTCCTTGTACTTGAAAGTGGGGGCATGAGGAAGGGAGTTTGAAGCTATTCTGTGATATGTAGCAATGCTCTCTGAAAAATTTTAAATAGTCTCTTGTATCCTGTCAGAGAGAGGAGGGCAGGGGTTGACGCCTTTTGAGTCTGGGTTTTCAACTGAAACTAAGAAAGAAGACAAGGATTGTCAACAAAAAATTCAGAGAGGGCTGTAGTGTCATCCAGATCTGGTCTTTACTGTTACTTTAGCTTGGCCTCACAACAGTCATAGATATACACACCTTGAAAACACAGCAGCTCTCTTCACACCTGCCCTAGGTAGCCTTTCACGTCAACTCCACTGAATTTGGAATTACCTGCAAGACACACTTTTGGGCATGACTATGAGGATATGTTTTTCTTTGGTTTTCTATTGCTGGAAAAACAAAAACAAAAAATCCATAACCAAAAGCAAACTTGGGGAGGAAAGCCTTTTTTTTCATTTTACACTTCCAGGTAATAGGAAAGTCAGCTGGAACCCAGAGCAGGAACCTGGAGGCAGGAACTGAAGCAGAGGCCATGGAGGAGCCCTGCTTACTGGCTTGCTTCTGAAAGCTTCCTCAAGATGCTTTCTTATACCATACAAGATTACTGTCCATCAATTGCCCCAATAGGCTGGGCCCTCCCACATCAATCATTAAACAAGAAAATGTCCCATACATAGGCTTGCCGACCAGCTACTCTGATGGAGGCAGTTTTCTCAGTTGAGAATCCTCCTTTCCACTTGCCTTTAACTACTGTCAAGTTGATCAAAACAAAAACAACAATTAAAAACTAACGATGATAGGATGTTTCCAATGAGGTTTTTTTTTTTGTTTTTTGTTTTTTTTTTTTAATAATTTTATGTATGTTAGTGTGAAGGTATCCGATCCCTTGGAATTGACATAATAGACAGTTTTGAGCTGCCATGTGAGTGCTAGGAATTGAACCTGGGTCCTCTGGAAAGGCAGACAGTACTCTTAACCACTGAGCCATCTCTCCAGCCCCTCCAATGAGGTTGATTTGGGGAGGGAATGCCACCCTGAATGTGGGTGACACTATTTCCGTTGGATTGGGTTGCACACTGAGTACAAAGAGAAAAAGGAAGAACAGTCCCTGCACCCTAGAATTCCCTTCTTTTCTTCATAGTTTACCCTGACAGGAGCATGGGTCTCATACAGTGCCTCACTGCCATGCCTTCCCTCTGAAAGACCCCCTGCCTCACCCTAAGTTAAATATAGCTATGAGAAACTCTATAGGCTAGGTGGGGAACTGGAAAATTACTGAGAAACCTAGCTGTGTCACCCACTTGGGATATCTGCGGTCAGGCTGCCCCAGTCAAACTAAAAACAGTTTGTGTTAATCACCCTCATGGATATCTGTGAGACTGTTTCAGTTAAGATAGAGAAAAACAAAATAACAGGTGGCGGGCCACGTCAAGGGGTCATCCTACCCCCCTTGACCACCCAGTTCCTGGAATCTTGGTGCCCCTGCCAAACTTTGACGCAAACCGTGGTCTCGTGTAAATGTACCAGTCAGCCCCCTGTAACCATGCTTCTCACTTCTGTACCAGTGCTTCTGCTCTAAAACCCTATAAAAACCCCAGCTTCCCATCTAGGGGGCGCGAAAGTCTCTCGAATGACTTTTCGCCCCGGGTACCCGTGTATCAAAATAAAAGCCTCTTGCTGTTTGCATCCGAATGGCCTCGTTGTTCCTTTGGAGGGGGTCTCTCAGACGGAAGATACCCTCCGGGGATCTTTCACCTCACCACACAGATTATATCTTCAGACTGTGTTCCTTCACAGTAAACTCTTCCTCCCTTAAAAGTTATCAGGTATTTGGTTTCCCCCCCACCAACCTCCCAGCCCTAGGGTCTCATGATGTAGATCTGGCTGTCCCGGAACTCACTATGCAGACCAAGCTGGCCTCGAACTCACAGAGAAATACCTGCCTCTGCCTCTGAATGCTGGGCGTAAAGGCATGCACCACCACCACCTAGCTTGCAACTTTTTTTTTTAAAGATTTATTTATATATGAGTGATCTGCCTGCCTGTCTATACACTCATTTGTGCCTGGTGCCCATGAAGGTCAGAAGAAGGCATCAGATCCCCTGGGACTGGAGTTACAGACAGCTGTGAGCTGTCATATAGGCTCTAGGACTTGAACCTGGGCCCTCTGCAGAAATGAGGGCCTTTAACCACTGAGCCACCTCTCTGGCCCTCATACTAAAGTCTTCCTGTTTTGTAGCAGTGTGGTCAAATCTTTGGTGCTTTGTTGCAGTTTCGCCACCTTACACAAGCTTTTTAAGGCACATCCACAAGTACAGTTTCACCCCTTACGAAACGCTAGTGTGAGCTGTCATGAAAGACACACACGTCTTCCTCTGTGCTCACTGAACTCCTAGGCGATCCTAAAGACCCAGCCTAAAGATCCCACTTTAGTGCTGTCAGCGCCTCCCCTCCCAGACTGGCTGAGTGGTCCTTTGGGAGTTTCTTCTCTTTGGCAGCTGGAGGACATCTTAGGTGGGCCCTGTATTTGATTCAGCTCAGCATTTTTAAGATCCCTCCCAACAATCTTGTTTTTTCACAAAGGCAACTGTACTTTTTTGTTAAAAAACAGTAGCCCAAACAGATGTAATCCCTTTTTAGCATGCCCGTCTACTCCGTGCTTTAGCACTGATCTTGATTTCATTTGGTTTTGTTTTAAGGCTGTAGAGCTGTCAAACAAAAGGTATTCTGTTTCCCAGGAATAATCCTGTTACTGTTAGGCCAGGTGGGTTTTCTGCCGTCGGGAAAACTTAGATTTAACCAATGCTCTGGGTGTGCATGGTGGCACAGCTTGCCACCGTGTGCATGTGAAGGGCAACTTGCATGACCTGGTTCTCTTTTCCTTTCTGCTGAACTTAGGTCATTAGACTTGTAAGCAAGCACTTTGCTTCCAATCTTGCCTGTTTTTAATACCTCTTACTGTCCTTTTCCCTAACTCCGGTGTTTTCTCCTCTCTTTCTAATTAGGTATCTTTTGGATAACCCTGATGTTGTGAGAGGAAAGTCTGTCTTAGATCTTGGGAGTGGATGTGGAGCTACAGCCATTGCTGCTAAGATGAGTGGAGCATCAAAGGTCTTGGCAAACGACATAGACCCTAGTAAGGGCTGCATATTTTAAAGCAGTTTGAGCCCCCCCCCCCCCCCTTTACAGGACGCACTATGGTAGCTTATTGCCTTGTTTGTAATCTGATATGATGAGTTATGTTCACTGGGGCACTGTCTGGGGCCTGAACTGATGGTGCATTTCCCCAAGAGGATTTGATTTGTCTGCTAGACATTCCAGAGCGATACCTGTTAGGGCATGTGTGTTAGCTTCTGGGTTGAGAATTTCCTGAAATGTGTAAGAAATATTTATTTGACATGATACCCAAGTAAAGATAGGCTTGTGTCTTTAGTGGATGTTTTTACTGCATTAAGACCCAAGTTGTGTTGGGTGTAGCAGCCCACACCTTTAATTCCAGTGCTCAGGAAACAGAGGCAGGAGGATATCTACCAGGTAGGGCTACAAAATAAGACCCTCTTTCAAAGAAAGAAAAAGGTCCAAATTGTGACAGGTATGTTTTTCTTTCATCTGATATATATATATTTCTGATCCTACTGTTGTTTAGGGTAGAACCCTTGGTGGCGGGGAGAAGGGTTCTTATATTATTACAAAGTTTCAGATATAACTTAAGCCCAACATTTGCTTTTCTGTCTACATTAAACAAACATACAAAAAATAGCCAGTAAATGTTAAAAAAAAAAAAATCCCACCATTGCTGTGCTATATATAATATATGGCTTTTTAAAAAGTTCCTTTTTTGGCTATAGCCCACATGAGAAAGCCCACATGAATATAAAGCCAAATAAGAGCCCGTTATTAAGCTGGAGACTGAAAGCAGCCTCTTGTCACAAAGAGCTCTGGGCCCCTAGATTAACCACTATAGAATTTATACAGACCCCCCAAAACAAACAAACAAACAAACAAACAAACAAAACAATTAAATCACATCAGATGAAGGCTACGAGAGTTTTCACTTTCAACAAGGGATTGTTTTCCAGCAAAGGGTAAACACTGATCTGTTAAACATTTTACAAGCGTCATTTCTCAGAAGGGAGAAACTGCTCTGTGAAGCAGGATGTAGTGGGTATGGGGTCAGGATAACCTGTTCTCTCCTAGACCATTTCTATTTTTTTTCCTTCCTTCCCTCCCCTCTACCTCTCTCTCTCCCTCTTTGAGGCAGAATTGCATATAGCTCATGTTGATGCTTATTAATATTTGACAAGCAGCAGTTACTCCTTTAAAAAAAAGATTTATTTATTTATACAGTGTTCTGCCTGCATGTGTGCCTGCAGGCCAGAAAGGGGCACCTCATTATAGATGGTTGTTAGCTACCATGTGGTTGCTGGGAATTGAACTCAGGGCCTTTGGAAGAACAGCCAGTGTTCTTAACCTATGAGCCATCAATCCAGCCCACCAGCAGTTACTCCTAAACCAGCTGTATACCCAGATCATCACATACAGACTAGGATTTATTTAATTAACCTAGAGCACAATGCTAGGCAATATTTACTCTATCCTAAACCTTCAAGCCCACTCAGATTTCCCACAGTCTACTTGCTTTTTAGTCATATCTTAGGTCCTGTTCATTTCTCCTGTTTCCCCTCCTGATGTTTCCTCTCTTCTTGGATCTTTCCTCCCGCTCGCTTCTTTCTCCTCCCCTCTGGACCAGGGTGTCCCACCCTATTCTCTCCATTGCTTAGCATTGGCTGGTGTTTTTATTGGCAATAGAAAAAATAGCACGTTTATATAAACTTGAGACAGGTGATGCTTCAATAAGCATTACAATGCAATGTCAGGATTGAAACCAGATAGTGGGGGAGAAAAATCAGCGTTTGAATAAACAAGGGTAAATCATATACATTCCACAAGAACATTATACCAACACTCTCAGGATGACCTCAACTAGTTAAGTGTAGCTAAACATGACCTTGAATTTCTGATCTTCCTATTTCTACCTCTCAAATGCTGGGGGTGTGGGTAGGAGGCCAGCCCTGGCTATGGTCCTGCAGAAGAGATGAAGAGTCATGGAGGGCGGAGGGAGGTAGGCATGGGGATGGGGCCAGTTTTACATCCTGACTGACTGGCAGTCTGGGTGCTTCATTACTTATACAGAACTTAAGCAGGGATAGGTGCATGTTGTTCCAAACATAGATCATATAAATTTTATTTCCCAATAGGTGTTTTAAATTCCTTTTGGTTGTAAGTTTAGACATCATTGGTAAATCATGACAGAACATTATTTTCCCTCATCAACCCCACAACCCAACTTTTAACAATATTGTAGTTTCAAGGGAATATTTTGTGAAAGCATGACAGCCTGTTTTCAGCTCTTGGTGGTTTCAAGGACCCTAGACAGAAAGAAAATCTCCAAGTCAGCCTGGGCAGATTGTTATGTCCCAAGCTGTGTATTATCAATTTTTAATAGTCAGAGTGATAATAGTCATTAGGTCCAATAAAAGTCTTTAGTCCAAAGCTTCTGCAGTTATTTAATTTCTGCCATAATATAATGTTTATATTTTATACATTTATATGTATAATCTTGATATTCTTTTGTTCCATAGTGGCATTTACTTTTTCTGAGAAAGGGAGGTCTTAATATTTTATTTTTTTATCATTTATCCACACCATTCTTTGTCCATTGGTAGTAAGAAGGGGCTTTTTTTTTTATCTGCTGCCAGCTTTTCTAGCCTACCAAATATTGTTTACCTTTTCAAATTTACTTTGTTCTGAGTATTTTGTTCCTGAGTAAGTGCAGGGGCAGATGTGCCAAGAGTATCTTTGAGAGCCTCCAAAGGAGGTCTCTGGGATTTTTATTTGAGTCACAACTTCCAGGGCCTGAGGAAGACCTTCAGGTAGGGCCAGGTAAGGATATCTCCCTAAAAGCGGGAGGGCAGCATGGTCAGGATATTCCTGGGGAAGCTTAGCAGCACCACTCCTGGAAGAAGGAGTGAATGATTCATAAGAAAATTCCCATCAATCCAGTAACCCCAAGTTGTACAAATAGTAAAAGCCCCCACGCCAACATGCAACAGGTAGGGATCAAGGCCAAAAGGTGGGAGGCCAGAGGGAACGAGTGCATCACTAGGCTCAGCTGCGCTGGAGCCTTGTCTAGCAGCTGCGCTGCTTTATGAGTTTCACTGTTGCCATTGGATATGGCTGTGCCACCACCATGCCCAGCCTCCATGTTTGTTTGTTTTGGCTTGGCACCTCCCTTTGTACCCCAGGTTGGCTCATACTTGCAGGGATCCTCCTGCTGTGTACTACCAAGCTTGGGTAGGTCTGCGCAATCAGACCCAGCCAGCATGTAGTTTATATGACGTAAACTTTAAGCCTCTTTGCCTTAAAAAAAAAGAAAGAAAGAAAAAAAAAACTAATGGGAGTTGGACAGATGGTTCAGTGGTTAAGAGCACTGGCTGCTCTTCCATAAGTTCTAGGTTCAATTCCCAGCAACACTAGACAAATGAAGACAAAATACCACATAAAAAATAATTAAATTGAAAACAACAAAATAACAACAAAATGCCTTTTAACAAAAGGAGGTATTAGATTATTTTTACATTTATTTGCTTGTTCATCTGTGTGTGCATGTGTCACAGTGCACTTCACATGGGGACAGGGGACAGCTTGTGGGATTTGGTTTCCTCTTTCCATCATGTGGTTTCAGGTATTGAACTCTTTTATTTGTTGACATGGGGTCTTTCTGTTAGTCCTGGCTGTCCTGGAACTGCCTATATAGACCAGGATGGTCTTACATTCTGGGGGGTGGATATGGAGTCAGGATTACCTGATGTATCCTAGTCTCTGCCTCCTGAGTGCTGGGATTAAAGTTGTAGGCCACCATGCCTGGCCTTCAGATATTGAACTCTTGTTAGGTTTAGTGGCAAATGTCTTAACCTGAAGAGCCACCTCACTGGCCCCTATTGTTAGGTTTAAAAAGTGTTTAAATAATAAGGAATTAAAGTAGCCTACTAATACATGCTTATAGCTCAACTCATCATATGTTTTGTAAAGTTGCAGGAATGGCGATTACACTAAATTGCAAATTAAATGGACTGAATCCTTTTCCCATTTTAACCAAAAACATTTTGAATACCCAACAAGTTAAGTTTGACCTCATTGTTCTTGGAGATATGTTTTATGATGAAGACCTTGCAGACAGTCTTCATCTGTGGCTGGAGAACTGCTTTTGGACCCATAAAACACGAGTACTTATTGGTGACCCTGGGAGGCCCCAGTTCAGTGGACACAGCATTCAGCATCATCTGTACCAACTAGAAGAATACACACTTCCACCGTCAACACAGCAAGATAACAATGGACTGACCACAAGTACGGTGTGGGATTTTCATCCCTGATTTGTCAGAGTGCTTTCAAGAATGAGTATAGTTCTGTTTGTGTTAAACTCTAAAAATTTCCTCTGTAGGAGGTACTCAACATTTTAAAGAATCCAGATCAGTGTGGTGTGATGGCTGGAAGTGTGAATACTATCACTTGGTAGGCAGAAATAGGGTGACCTCTTTGGAGGACAGTCTGGTCTACATAGTTCCAGGACAGCCAAGGATACATAGGGATACCCTGTCTCCTGGAGAAAGTGATTTAAAATTTCCTTCATCCACCTTGGCATAGTGGTTCATGCTTTTAGCACTAGGGAGGCAGAGGCAGGTGGATCTCTGTGAGTTTGAGGCCAGTTTGTTCTACAGTGAGTTCTAGAACAGCCAGAGCTACATATTGAGACTTGAGCTGAAAAAAAGAAAAAAACAAACAAAAATTTCTTTCCTTTGACACCTTTTATAATTCTGTATGGCTTAGTAAAGTTAGTAACTGTTATGTTCCCATTTCATATAGCAGGTTGTCAGGGTTTTATAACGACAAAAACAATGTAATTAATATGTATCCCACACCGCTGATTATGTAGAAGGCATGTTTATATGTGCATGGTTATAATATACAGAATTTGCTGCAATATTAATAAAACATCTCTGGAAAGATAAACAAGGAACTAGAGTGTTATCTTTCTGTCCCGACCCGCGGGACCTAGTTATTCGTGGGGGCGAAGGGGGTCGTACCTGTAGGAGACGAGGGGGAGAGAGAAACGAGCACAAGTAGACGAAGGCCTTTCAAGTGCTACCTTTATTGTGCAGCAGTTTTATTTTTATAGGGCAGTTCTGGCAGGGAGGGGGGTTTCAAGGAGGAGGAAGTAATAGTGGAAAATCACTAAGACTATTGTAAGAAGTCACTTGATTCATGTGATTGTTACAGTGGAGGCTCACAAGGTTATACAGTCACTAAAAACAACGTCTGTGGTTTCGGACATCTGTTGTTTGTCCGGCAGGGCTGTTAACCGAAAGGCATGATTCACAAACATCTGTTGTTTGTCCGGCAGGATATGACAAATCAGAGTCTGGGGGCTTTGTCGGCTCCCGACATCTTTCTGTTAGTGTAACAAATTTACTGAGAAAATCAACTTAAAAGAGAAGTGAGGTAGGGGCTGGAGAAATGGCTCAGCGTTTAAGAGCACTGTCTTGCTCTTCCAGAGGTCCTAAGTTCAATTCCCAGAAACCATATGGTGGCTCACAACCAATGAAAGGGTTAAAACAGCAGAACTAACTCCTTTTTGTTTTTCAGACACCATCCAAGGCTAGCTTTTTCTTGAAGTAACTTGGTTCCACCCTTGAGTTCTGAGAAAAACCACAGAATGTTCTTGGCAGTTACAGCTAGACATAGCAACTGAGGCAGACCAATAAAGACAGGGTTGGTTAAGAAAACATAAGTTGTTTCCAGGGCTGAAATGTTCCTTTTGGCAAGCTGTTCCTCTTTGTGGTTTGGCCAGATGCTGTTAACAAATTAGGTCAAAGTGCATTTCCTTTGTCCAGTCATGTAACACTGAGGCTTAGAAGCCCCTGCTTGCAGTTTTGCCCTTTAAAAACCCAGTTCCCTTGGAGCTCTGGGCTGTTTTTTCCCTACTGTTCCATCAAGAGGGATTGTGGCCTTAGCTTGAGCTTGTAATAAAAAGATTCTCTTGCATTTACATGGGTCTCGTGTTCCTGGTGGGCTTGGGGGTCGTAAGATCTGGGCATAATACCATCTATACTAGAATTTGATGCCCTCTTTTGTCATGCATGCATGCATGCACATAGAGCACTCATACATAAAATAAATTTAAAAAAATCTTTAAAAACGAAAGAAAAAATAAATAAGTAAAAAAAGAGAAGTGATTTAGCCAGGCGTGGTGACACATGCCTGTTGTTCCAATACTTGGGGAGGCAGAAGCAGACAGATCTCTGAATTCTGAGTTTGAGGCCAGCCTCGTCTAGAAAGGGAGTCTAGGACACAGAAACCCTGTATTAACAAAACAAAACAAAAAAACAACCAAACAAAAAAACAGAAATTTGTTTGGCTCAGTTTTGGAAGCTCTAATCCATGGTCTGTTGGCCCCATTGCTTCCCATTGCTGAGGAAGGTGGGATATTAGGACAGCCACAGTATGCAGTAGGAAGTGGCTTCACACATTATAGTGGCCAAGAAGCAGAGATCAAGGGACCAGGGATAAGTCACTGGCACTGACTTTTTTCTTCCAACAAAGCTCCACCTCCTAGAGTTTCCATCCCTGAAGAACCAGCCTGACTCCATATTGTAACCAAAGCCATTTTGATATTCTAGTTAGGTTTCTGTTTCTCAGAGGTGGCCTGCACCGCATCCCTGTGACTATAGAATGTTTTGTAACACATGTTCCAGGAAGATTTCCTTAACTGCCTGGTCTTGCTTCTGTAACCATGCTTACTTGCAAAATCCCTCACCCTGCAGTTTTGCCCTATAAAAAAAGAAATGGAAAATTGGCTCAGGGCTATGTAGTGAGAATTTTGGTTTCTTTCAAAACACAAAACCAACCATTTGTATGTTTTGTTTTAATCCCAGATATGGGATATGGGGCTGCTTGAGGTTGTCCACAGCAGCTGATTATAATGTGTCTCATGCCCTGGCAGGGGTGTGATTTTGCCAGCTTCAGATAGTTTATATTTGGAATTCTGGGGACTCTTCAGAACATACATAAATGCCAGAGCCCCAAGAGAAGCCAGAGGTGCCCTGAAAATATGGCTGCTGTTCCCCCAGCTGCTGTTGGTTCCTGCTGCTTCTTTTGCTGTTGTTGGGTTGCTGGATTGCTGGTTGCTGGTATTCTGACAATGAAGACTGGACTTTCCCCAAGGAACTCGATGTACCTAATCAGCAGGAAGGAAGCTAGAGAGGTCTGTGTCACCTTTTCCCTATAACCTTTCTTGCCTATCTATTGTTGGGGGGTTAGAAGGGACTGGGATGAAGAGTGGTAGATATAGGAACCCAAATAAAGTAGCCAAAGGCCCTGGTTACAGGGCTGCTCTCTTGAACCCCATCTTCCAAATAGTTCTTTCAGTTGGAATCCATTAATGAACTGGTTCATTGGTGAGGTCAGAGACATGAACATTGCATTGGGATGCACTAGGCTTTCAACACAAGTTGGGGGTGAGGAGTTATTACAGATTAATACTAACTGGTTAAAAAATAATAACCAAAATAATAACAAAAAAACCCAACAAAGTTAGTTCTCTGTTCCTTCTGAGAGGGAACTGTTATATCCAAATCTTGAAGTCCCCAAAGACCACCAGCAGACCCATCACATATGCAAGAACAAGGAGCTTTTATTTTGGGCTTAAGCTCAGACTTTCAGACTTCACCAGCACAGTGGATCCATACAGAAGTCCCCGAGCAGCTACGAAGCAGGGTTTTTATTGTGGTTGAGCAAGGAATGGGACTTTCCAACGTGGCAGTTATGTGACTGGTTAGCATCTAGCAGAAGCAGGCTTGTCATAAACTGATTGGCTAACATAGCACAAGCTATCTGTAGACCTCAGGAATGTTAGGTACTTGCCCAGTGCACTCTGATTGGCTCTGTCCACCTGTTGTGTCCGTTGGGGGTTTTTCCAGTAAATGCTTGACTGCTTCTGAGAAACAGAAGCTGAACAACTGTGGGAACATTACCAGGAAACAGGAACTCAGGCCTATAGTATTGAAGCTGATTATGAAGTCTGTCATGGCAGCAAAGCTGCTTGAGTCCTTCAGTAACCAAATGGTTTGTACTTACATATGCTATACTGTTATCTAATTTAAAAAGTTAAACACTGCCACTTTGTATGTTATAAATACCAAATTTAGTCTTTCAGATGTACCCTCATATTCTTTGGGTACTACTCTACTTTGCTTGGAATTTTCTTGGACACTTGAATTACGTACTTTTAAATAATAAACACCAGACCAGGCATGGTGGTGCTTGCCTTTAATCCTAGCACTTGGGAGGAAGAGGCAGGTGGATCTCAGTGAGTTCAAGACCAGCCTGGTCTACAGACCAAGTTCCAGGACAGCCAGGGCTACACAGAGAAATCCTATCTCAAAAAAACCAAACCAACCTAACACAATAAACACTAGGATACTAGGATAATAAGATTTAAAGGCAGAGAGGTAGCAAACAAAACAAAACAAAACAAAACTGGAATAATTATATAGGAGTTTTGGGCTAGGGATGAAGAGTATTGTCTTGGAAGGTTTTTGTTGTTGTGTTGTTACAGCTAGGACTCCACTGTGCATCTGAGGATGGTCTTGATCTCCTGATCTTCCTGCCTCTACCTGAAGTGCAGGGGTTCCTGATTTATACAGTACTGGGGGTTGAACCCAGGGCTTTGTACAAGCTAGGCAACTGTCAACTGGGTCACACGCACTGTGATCTTGTAAGTTCTGTACTTGTGATTCTGGACTTTGGAAGTTAGAGCTCATAAGGAATCAATTAATCAACTTGCTACACAAAATTTACATTGGTATCTACAGGGGCTTAGAAATGAAAACACGCAGCTAAGGAAGCAGGAGGGTAACCAGATCCTCACCTCTCCCTCAGCTCCTCCAAAAACAATCCCCCTGTAATGGAAGCTTCATTTTCTTTGTAAACTCAGTTAGGTTATGTAAACATGCTTTTGTTTTAATCCCAAGTATGGGATTTTACTTGGGCTATAGTTTGTCCACAGCTGATAACTGTCTCGTGCGGAGCATGGTCTTTGCCATCAGTAAAGGCCTTCCACACTGGCGCACAGAGGGGCATGGTCTAGGACTCAGTATAAATGTGAGAGCTGGTTGACATGTGGTGTGGCGATTTGGAGCAGAGAGAAGGAGAGAAACACTTTAGGGCGCAACAGCCTGGAGGAGACTGCTAGCTCGGCTGGGGTTGACAGATTCATATAGGGCCCTAAAAGAGTCCCTTTGACCCTAAGCAGCCAGGAGAATGGGCCCTCTCGCCCCACTGTTAGGCCCAGCAAGAGCCTAAATATAAGAAGGTATGAAGAGAACTCCAGAAACTAATCATCCATTGATGCAAAATCACAAGAGGTTCATTCTAACCATTACGCAATGGGGTCACCCCTGCTGGTCAGCAAGGAGTGGCACCGGGAGACAAAGACCTTAGGTTTTTAAAAGACAAGGCAAGGGGAATTCTAGGGGTTGCCTTCTTGGCAATTCATGATTGGATGAGGTATTTATTTAACTTTTAAAATAATTGGTTGGTTCTGGGCACCCTTAGGTCTGGTCAGCCCTGTCATAAATATCTGATCTTCAAGTCAGTTTGGAATTTCCTGCCATATGAGATATAGCCACAGTTAGAGGTGGGAGAATGATTAACTCATCCCGTGTCTGTTCTGAGGAGTGGGGGTTACAGGCTTTGGATCAAAGGTCAGGAGAAGGATTGGGGCCATTTGGCCCAGTTTCCAAACAAAGCTCATCTCACAGGTGCCAGCCAGTGATTTTCTCTCCATTTAGTAGAGATTTCTGCTTGTTCTCTTCCTTATCTTTGCTCTCACAGATGGCTAATGTTAGGAACTTTTACATTCCTCGGCTCTCTGGAGAAGCACTAAGAGGCTTTAATTAACAGGGGCCTAAAACTTGAAAATATAAGTTATAAGGCAATTAAAGAAACATAGGTTACAAAGTTAGTCTGATTCTTTCACCACTTTTTCTCTCCCCTGTAAGGTTGGGAGGTTGAAGCCCAAACACCTCAAATAAAGTAGAGTTTTAAAATGAGCGCTACACCCCCAGTGCCACTCCCAGCTCTGTAGCAGACCACCGGCTGCAGCCTCCCTTTCTCCCCTGCCCTCTCTCTCCAGGGTCCCACAGATCTCTATCCCCCTAGCCTCCCTCCCACCCTCATCGCTTTATCCTAGCCCCCAACTCCAGCAGGCACTCCCTGGGAACCTGCAGGCACTCTAGCCACTTAGGCCAGAGAAGCAGGCTAGCTGCAGCTCTTCCTCAGCTCCCCCAGAACCACCCCAGTCTTATCCCTAGCCTGGTAACAGGCCACCTGCTGCAGGGCCCACCCCCTTCTCCAGTGGGCCACACACTTCTCCAGACTTCCTTTGCCCACTTACTGCTTTATCCCAGCCCCAACAGCAACAGACATTCCCTGGGACTAGCCCAGGAACCTAGGGTAAACCCAAATACTACCATTATTTAAAAAAAAAAAAAAAAAGTAGCAATGCAATAAAAAGAGTCCTAATGACAGTCTGCTTTACTCTGTAAATAAGTGGGTCTCTTGTTTCTTTTGCCTTTTCTTGGGCTCTTTTCCTGCTGTTTGTTTGGTCCAATTTTGATATTAGCTATTTTTATCTTACAATATTTCATTTTATTTTGTTTATTATTCTTTAGGAGCCTGTTTGTTTTCTCATGAAAGGAAAGGAGCAGATCTAGGTGGAAGGGGAGGTGGAAACTGGGAGAGGAAGGAGACACCATGATCAGTATATATTATATGAGAACATCTATTTTCAAGAAAGGAAAATAAAATGTCAAAAGCAAAATGAAAACACACAACTTTGATTTAGTTTATAGACTACAGTGGCACTGGGTAACATCTGAGATCATTTTGCTGCTTTTTAGAAGAGTCAGAGTGCTCTGGTTATTGTCTGCTAGAGCACTGCTGGGACTGACCTTGCTGTTTATCTCACAAAAATGGGCCTTTTTCAGTTTTGTTTGTTTTGACAGGGTCTCATTGTGTAGTCCTGGCTAGCCTAGACCATCCTGTGTAGGCTAGGCTGGCCTCAACCTCAAAGAGTTCTGCCTGCCTCTGCTTCCTGAGTACTAGAATTAAAGATGTGCAACCACCGTTCCCAGCTCTCTAATGGTACTTAATATTTAATTTTTATATACTTCTGGGACCAGAGGGACATAGCACCTACCTAGCATGCATGAAACCCCAGGTTCAGTACCCAGTAAAACACACATACACACACAAACATTCTGAATCTAATTTTGCCAAAGAACTGGGAAAGAGTACCCATAAAAATCAATGAAATTGCATTGGGATACACCTCAGTGGTAGCATGTCTTCCTACTGTGTATGAGGCCCTGAATTCAAGCCGGAAAACTGAGGGTGCGAATCAACTAAATGAGTGCCTGAGAAAAAGCCTCAGTACTGGGAATATATTAGATGGCTGCCTTCTCCCCCGCCCCCAACCTAAGACAGGGTTTCTCTGTGTAGCCTTGGCTGTCCTGGACTCGCCTTGTACACCAGGCTGGCCTTGAACACACAGCAATCTGCTTGCCTCTGCCTCCCTGAGTACTGTGATTACAGGGGTACCCTACTGTACCCACCTGTGTGTATGTGTTGCGAATCCATCCCTAGCCTCACACAAGCTAGGCAAGTGTTCTATCACTGACCTACTTTTGCAGCTGAATGTCACATTTTAACTGATGAATTATTACCATCGATTTCAGTAAAAAAAGTATATCAGTTTCTGTGATGAGGTAATAGGCCTTATGTTCCACTTTGCTTTTGGCTGAACATTTCATAAAGGTAAAAGCCAGAAATTAACTCAGAAGGTATTTATGCTTTTAAAAGCATCTTTATTTAGAATTCCACTCATAATGTCTCTTACAATAACTCAAATACCTATACCAGAGAACGGGCTATAAATGAAAAGTAAATCATTTGAAACTTTTGTTATCAAAGAAACAAACCCAGCCTTTTCTCCATCAAATAGAGTTCATACCAGGATCACTGTTAAAAAGAAAAGATGGCTCATCAAACAAATATGGGATAATAGAAGTGTTAAAATGCTGTGTCTGGTTACTTAAAAGCACAAACATTTACATAAGATTGAACTGATTCTCTGAGAGTACAGCTTACCTAAGACAATAAAATAACTTAGTGTTAAATTAAGGGAAAAGCAAATATTTATAGAGTATGTCCTGGGAAGGCTCCTGAGCTCAGCCTCAGTGAAGATCAATAGACAGACCACGTCACTTGCTTGAGTTTTCTTGATCCTACTAATTGCTCCAAGACTTCTCTTGAATGATCTTAAAGAGAATGATGACAGCATGTTAAGTTACAATAATCAAACATTAATGTTTTTCATACAAAAACTAGATGTAAGTGTGTGGGGTAATTAATGCATGCTTATGATACTGTACTTGCAAGGTGCAGGTCTGGGAGTCAGGAATTTAAGGCAGACCCAGTGTATAGCAAGGTGGAGGCTAGCCTGGGCTATATGAGATACTGTCTTAACACAAAGGAAAAATAAACACTAGGCGTGATGATAACTATTACAGGGCTGTTGGGAGGATTAACAACATGAAATATAAAGCACAGTAGAGCTGGTAGGATGGCTCACAACATGAATACACTTGCTACCACGTTTGACGACTTGAGATCTGTCCCTGGGCCACATGGTAGAGTGAATATTCTGATCTCTACATGTACACAGATGACACATATTCACCCTCTAGACAAAAATAAATAAATAAATAAACAAACAAATAAATAAATAAATGTGATTTATAAGGCACATTTAAAATGTTATGTGCTTTGCCTAAATGAATGGTTGGTGCACCACTTGTGTGCCTGATGCCCACAGAAGCCAGTAGAGAGCATCAGCTCCCCTGAAACTGGAGTTATAGACACCATGTGGACACCATTAATTAATTATTGTTGGGTTAGTCAGTTGTGTACTGTGCTTTGAAAATTTAAAGAACATTTATTTACCAGGGCTGGCAATCTAGCTCAGGCGGTAAGAGGCCCCAACACCACATTCCACTCCCTAGCCCCCACAGGCTCAGGGTTATGTCATAATGCAAAATGCATTTAGTCCAACTTCAAACGTTTCTACAGTCAGTCTCAGCACTGTTTAAAAGCCCAAACTTCAGCGTCAATTCTAAGACTCAAAGCAATGTGTCATGCACCTTCCCTCTTCCCCTCCACTGTCCTCAGCCCTGGGCCTCTTTACACAGCCCTGTCTGTCCTACTTGCTATATAGATCAGGCTGGCCTCAAACTCAGATATCCACCTGCTTCTGCCTCCAAGTTCTAGAATTAAAGGTGTGTACACCTTATGGCAATTGTAAGCCTTGTAAAATAAAAAAGCAAATTACATACCTCCAACATACAATGGCACAGAATATACATTACCATTTTAAAAGGGAGGAGTGAGGGCTTAGATGGCTTCATCCCTCTACAGCTGCTGCCTGCAATGTATTTCTCTCTCTTGAGCTGGTTCCAATCCCTGTCTGCAGCTCTCCTTGGCAGAATTATTGGGCTCTGGTACCTTTAATATCTTTGAGTCTCCAATGTAATCCGTGTTTCACTTTGACAGCTCTACAAGATGGTTTCTCAGGGCCACCATGCAAGGGCTCCCCTGTCACACTACAGAAGATCCCACAACACCTTTACTTGTATGCCCTTCATGACTGCATAAAGCCAGAGCCAAGTGGAAGACACCGCCATGTCTGACTACCGATTTGGAATGAACCCTTATGCCCTTGAATCACATTTGTAACAGTTTTCATTTGTTGTTTTTTAGCAGCAGAAAATTCTTTAGGCCTTTTCTTTTCACAGATTGGAAGCTTAGCTGGGTAGGGTCTTGCCTCCTTTTTATCCCAATGTGATTAGGCCTTGCCTTGATTTCCATTTTTTTCCCTCTCAGCACAAGCCTTGGCTCCAACCTTACATTTCCTAGTGTTATTTTTTTCTTCAAACTGTACATTTTGTAGTTCTTTTTTCCCCATTGCTCTTTTTCACTGTAGACAGGCTCAGGACTAATTACTAATAACCATGCAACACAGTCAATATTAGGCTGTATTGGAATCTCGGCCAAATAAAGTAGTCCATCATTTGTCAACTTAGCCTCAGGCAAATTATTAGGACAAGGGTAGATGACAGCCATGATCTTTGCCAAAATATCACAATAAAGACAATAAAGAATTGTCTCTAGCCCAGCTGCTAATGTTGTTCCCCTGTTAAATCTCTTGAGCCAGACTCCATAGTCCATCAGCTATCAACACTACTGTATTCAGATCCTACTAGAATGGCTCATTAAGCTCTGCTTCCAGTGTTCAAGCTCTGCTTTCCTAATCCAGAGTACTAGCATCTTCTACATTTTTCCAAAACCAAGTATGGTCAGGTCTGTCACAGCAATACCCCACTCCTGGGACCAACTTCTGTTTTAATTACTTTTCTATTGGTGTGACAAAACACCATGACCAAGACAACTTATAAAAGAAAAGTGTTTAATTGGGTTTATTGTTTTAGAAGGATAGAGTCCATGATTGTGAAGTAAAGGCATGGTGACAGAAGTAGCTGATAATTCACATCTTGACCCAAAAGTAGGAGGCAGAGAGAGAACCATGGAAATGGGAGTCTTCTGAAATTTCAATTCTGTTCTCAGTAACACACGTCCTTCAACCAGGCCATACCTCCTAATCATTCTGAAACAGTGTGGTAGTTGCTAACTATGCTTTCACCCCTTAATGCTGGGTATTGAACCCAGGGTCATAGCATTCTAGGCAAACTCGGATGCTAATCTACTCTTCCTCCCTTCACCATCACTCAGCCTTATAATCAGGCAATTATTTAATTGAAAAACTGAGATTCTTAAAAGTAAAAGCTATGTTGTGGGCTAGCCATATCTAATGGGCACAGCAAGTCATAAAGCCAGCACAGCTGCTTGACAAAGATCCAGCACAGCTGAGCTGAGTGATGCAATCGCTGTGGTGCAATCTCCCACTTTTTGGCTTTGATCTGCACTTGTTGTATGTTGGTGTGGGGGCTTTTATTACAAGTTGGGGATACTGGATTGATGGAAATTTTCTTATGAATCATTTATGCCCTCTCCCAGAAGTACTGCTGCTAAGCTTCCCTAGGAATATCCTGACCATGCTACCCCTCCCGCTTTTAGGGAGATATCCTTATCTGGCCGGACCTGAAGGTCTTCCTTATGATCCGGAGGTTGTAACTCAAGTAAATATGCCAGAGACCTCCTTATTGGGCTCTGACTCAAAGATATTCTTGGCATATCTGCCCCTGCACTTAGTTAGGAACAAGATACTCAAAACAAAGTAAACTTGAAAGGTAAACAAGATTCAATGGGATAGAGATGTTGGCAGCAGAGCAAATTAAAAGCCCCTTCCTACTACTGATGGACAAAGAATGGTGTGGATAAATGATAAAAGAATAAAATATTAAGACCTCCCTTTCATAGAAAAAGTGAACACCACTATGGTGTTGTATGACCAAGGAACACAAAAATGTAAGAGTAGACATATAAATAAGTTCTACAAATATATAAAAAATAAATATTGTATTATGGCAGGAATTAGATAATTGCCTCTGCGTTGGCTTGAAGACTTTTATTGGACCTAATGACAGTTATCACTCTGACTATTAAAAGTTGACAGTGCACTGCTTTGGGACATGACAATCTGCCCAGGCTGGCTTGGAGATTTTCTTTCTGTCTAAGGTCCTTGAAACTGCCAAGACCCATCAGCCTGAAAACAGGCTGTCATGCTTTGGCAGCATATGCCCTTCAAGTTGAAATATTGTTAAAAGTTGGGTTGTGCGGTTAATGAGGGAAAATGATTATAAAAGATAACTGTTCTGTCATGGTTTATCAATGATGACTAAACTTATGACCAAGAGGAAGTTAAAACATGGCCAGGAACAAAAATTATATGATCTATGTTTTGGAACAACATGCATCTATCCCTGCCTACTAAATTCTGTATAAATAAACAACAGTCAGGATATAAAACTGACACCCCCACCCCCCGTGCCTGACTCCTCCTTCCCTGCTGACTCTTTATCTCCTCGGTGAGACCTGGCCATACCCAGGACTGGTTCCTGGCAATGTTGGCAAAGTCTTATCGTAAATTAGAGGCAAGCCCGGGCTACATAGTGTGTACCAGGACACCTGGCAGAGTGAATCTAGCTGAAAAACTTAAAAAGTGGAAGTGACAAAGAGGTGAAGCATAGAGATGGCAGCATGTTGCTCATATTGAATAAACAGGAAGAGAAGAACTAGCCTAAGAAATCTACTATAAACAATTAGAACTAATAAATTAGCCAGATTGCAGGGTACAAAAACAATATACAAAAATCAAATGTATTTCTACATACCATTAAGGAATGGCCCAAAAGTGGAATTACAGTAATTGCACTTATGTTTCCATAAAGAAAGAAAGAAAAAGAAAAAAAAAAAAGAAAAAGAAAGAAGATAAATAAATAAATAAATAAATAAATAAATTTGGGCATATGGTAAAGTCCATGATCCCAGGCCTATGGGAGGTTGAGGCAGGACTATCACAAGTTCCAGACAAAACTGGGACGTAGAGTAAAAAATCTGTCTCACAAAACAGAAAAAAGAACAACTCTAAATAACAAAAGGTGGGAATATTTAGAAATGAGCTAATGCCAGTGAAAACCTACAGGGCTGTGTCTAACCACTACACAGCACATACGAAGCTGCAGGTTCAGCGGAGCGTGGTGCAGCACACCTGCAGTGTCGGCACATGGGGGCAGAATGGGCCAGTTTCTGAGTCAGGGACCGGCTGCTCTACAGAGTCCAGGCCGGTCAGGGATGCACAGTAAGACCCCATGTCCTACTTTTTTTGTTGCTATAGTAAGTGCTGGAACTAAAAGCAAGTTGAGGGAGGAAAGGGTTCATTTCATCTTACAACCCCCAGGTCACAGTCGTCACTGCAGAAAGTCTTACAACTATAATTACATTTTATTTATAACTGAACTGTGGTTGATTGTAATTATCAATTTGACACAACGTAGAATCACCTGGGAAGAAAGTCTGAGTGACTGTCTAGATTAGGTTGGCCAGTGGGCATTATCTATGGAGGACTGTCTTCAGTATATTAAGGGAGGCGTGAATACCTGCCACTCACGATGCTACTTTCCCAAGGCAGGGGATCCTGACCTGTGTAAAAGTGGAGCAAGCAAGCTGAGCCAAGCATGCATACATTAATTTACCACTTTTTGTTCTCGGCTGTCAATGTAATGTGACCAACTGCTTCAAGTTTCTGCCACTTTGCCTTCTATAAACAATGGAGTGTAATATGAATGTGAGTTAGGTAAACCCATTTTACTGTAAGCAACTTTTGTCAGGGTGTAGGAAGAGGAAAAGTAACAGGAAAGAAAGTAAAACAAACTATTATATGTGTGTGTTCACGTGTGTGCATTTTAATTCTGTGTGTGTCTGTGTGTGGGTATGTGCAGGTGAATGGAGGTAGATAATCTGTTTCCTGAAGCTGAAGTTGCAGGTGTTTGTGATCCAGCTACATAGGAGCTGTGAACAAAACTCAGGTCCTTTGCAAGAACATTTTGTGCTTTTACTGCTCAGATGTTTGCCTCACTTTGTACTGGACATGGAACACAGAAAGTAATGACACATTACAAACCTTGTGTTTTATAGGCTTACAAATAACTGGCCAGGGTAGTATTTATAGCTATTATATAAATGCAGAAATTTATTTTGATTTTGGTTTTGAGACAGGGCCTCATTATATAGCCCTAGCTGGCTTGAAACTCACTATGCAGATCAGGCTGGCTTTGAACTTACATAGATCCTCTTGCTTTTTGCTCCCCAAATGCTGGTATTAAAAGCTTAGAGTACCACATCTGGTAGATGGAGAACATCTTAATGAGATCACACTTTCCTGGCTTTTGGAATCTAGCCAGGTAAATCTAGCTAGGTAGGCAATGCTCTTGAATCCACCAACTATCAACATTTATTTGGTTATCAATGATCTGAATAATGATATAATTTATTTTAAGTACTCCTAATCTAAAAATCTAATTAACTACTTAAGAATAAAAATTCTTGAAAAGAAGCGGTGTCTGGCACAAAACAACAGCAACAAAAACTCCTGAGAGGAATTTCTGTGTCTGTAGAGACTGATGGGCCAATTGGAAATGCAGTACTGTGCAGAGACTGGAATTCTGTAGGTTCAGAGGCTAATTACATTCATCTTGGGCCAATTTTAGCCCTTCTGTAACAGCCTTACTCTATAGCTGAGCTAATATCTTGTGATAATAAAACCCTCTTAGAAGCTATTAACTTAGCAGAACACTAACTTCCACCAATTCAAGAGTTAAGAATGCTATCAATACATTCTTAGACCTATAAAAAGTTTCCCCTATTTCAACATACCTGCCTCTTTGGTGTACCCACCAATGTATTTTAAAGTTGCCTTGATTTATGATTTTCTTTGTTCTGTAAAACTACAAAAACCCTGTGAAACTGCTTCCATGTTGGAACACAATTTGGGATAACCTAACTTTGTGTTCCCTGGCCATGCTCACTGAAAATAGCTTCAGAATAAACTGTCATTTATTCTCTTTAAGATGAGAGCAGTGGTTTTTACATTGACATACTCCAGTATGTTTCTGGTTTTGAAAATTAGTTATCTATATATTAGTCTAGACATACTTAATTAACCATTTTAATAATTCCCTCCTACACACTTTAAAATTTTTCTTTTAAAAAATTGACAAATACTTTTAAAATTTTCATTATCCTTAATTGTTATGAGTATTTATTTCATTTTTTAAGCTTTAAACAAAATTTTATTACACAAAGGTTGTCATGTAGTTGGAGACTTTTCTTCTTGGTATGATGTTTATTTTAAGCTGTCTGGGGCCAGTGAGATGGCTCAGTGAGTAAGTGTGCTTGCCACCAAGCCTGACAATCAGGAGTTTGATCCCCAAAACTCATATGGTGGAAGGAGAGAGTGGACGCTAGCAAGTCACCTTCTGACCTTCACATGCCTCCCACTGCATGTGATACACACAAATAAATAAATAGTAACATTTTGCCGAAGAATAATTTTTCTCATTGACTGCATTATTATTATAATTTTTTTACCTGACTTGATTTCTATTAAAAATAGGAGGGGGAATGCCAATTTGATTATTTTCAGATAGAAGCCAGAATGATCCTGGAAGTGAAATTAGCAAAGGTAAATTTTATAACATGTTTATGCAAGGTATTCCTACACAAACAGAAGAACACAGGCAGACAGGTATTTCAGCTAAAGTTCCAGGACCAGAAACGTCTGCTCCACAAACTGTTTCACTTCAAACTTTGATGCTAGCCTACCTATTCATGACTTTCAGATTTTAGAATCCATAGCACCTCATCTATTTTAAAATATGAAAGTATTAAAATAGGGAGCTGGAAAGACAGCTCAGTGATTAAGAGTATTTGCTGCTCTTTAGTAGAACTTGAGTTTATGTACTGGGTGGCTCACAACTGCCTGTAACTCCAGTTCCAGGGGATCCAATGCCTTCTCCTGGTCCTGAGGGTACTGGCATTACATGGCATATACTCTCTCTCTCTCTCTCTCTCTCTCACACACACACACACACCTTTTAAAAATATTCAAGTGGGAAAGAGATACAAAATTAGAAATCTCAGAAAGGATTTTTCTTGAGGCCACTGTGATTGGAGTAGTTTAAGAATGGCGAAGGTGCTTCTATCTCCCCTCAATTCTATTAAGAGTGACTCTGGGTGCCGGGGTGGGGTGGGAAGCTCTTGGAGCCTGAGAGGCAGGGTAGGCTGTCCGGCAAGCTGAAAGGACTGTGGCTGAGAACCCTGCGCTCGTACTGTCTAAGCATCTATTTCCTACAGACAGAAGAGACCTGACATAGAGATGTCACTTCACAGAGAAAGCTTAAATCCCCTGGAAGCAGGACTTAGAGGCAGTAAGCTCTTAAAATGAGAGGGCTACAAGAACAAGCTCTCTTCCTTATCCCAGGCCTGGAGTTCTGGACTAGTCTAGTGTCAATGACAATCATAATAATGATCACACTGTACAAGGGAAGTTAAGAGTTTCCTTGTAAGCATCTTTGCTTATTCAGTATATAGGTTAAAAGCACACACAACTCAATGTTGTTGTTGTGTATGTACATGTGGTGTGTGTGTAGGCAGACGTGTGTAGAAGCCTAAGGCTGACACTGGATGTCTTCCTAATGGCTCTCCACCTAATCTATCTGGTCCTAGAGCTCGCCATTTCAGTTAGTTTGGCTAATCAGTGTGTTCCAGGGATTCCTGGTCTCTATCTCCTGTGGGTACCTAAGCTAGGATCACAGGTAGTATCTGGGCACCCAACCTCTGTGCCCAAACTCTGAGTCATGATGCCTAGGTTAAATTGCTCTTAATCTTCACTTTCTACATCCTGAGTAAATGGTCATTTAGCACATTTAATATATATAATATAATAAACTTGACTTTTTTGTAGTTGGTCTGCTTGCTTGTTTGTTTTTCAAGACAGGGTTTCTCTGTGTAGCCCTGGCTGTCCTGGAACTCACTGTAGATCAGGTTGGCCTTGAACTCAAAAGAGATTCACCTGCTTCTGCCTCCTGAGTGTTGAGATTAATGGTGTGTGCCACCATGCCCAGCCAAACTTGACATTTTTTTATTTTCTGCATAAAGCATCATATTAACACTATGATTATGACTATTGCTGGCATCAACCTTATGTAGGTAACACTGAGCCTTACAACCACTATTACCATGACTAGTATCTGCGATGAGATCCCAATAGATGAGGTAGTCACCATGAGTAAGCCTACAAAGGAAATATATTACTGTATCATTTTACTGATAAGGACAATGAATAATGCAACTGGAGGACTAGGGAGTTTTCTCAGGGTTTTACAGTTGGTAAAAGATGAAGCAACCTGCCAGACTGACCTGTTATCAGAGGGCAGCCATGGAAAAGAAGTATACATATTTGAGGACAGGCAGTCAGGACAGCTTCTACGGCCTTATCAGTTAGATTTATACAGTATCCCATGTTAATCTCCTATGTAGAAAACAAAATGAAAGAAAAAAAATTAAAAACTAGATCTATAATAACAGCACAAAAAAGTTTGGAAAATAATTCTATACAAAAAAGAACTAAAGTGATTAAGGTAGTACCATCTTGTCCTGACTCCATTTTGTGTCTGCTCAGGGCATTTCTCAGCCCCCTGCCTCACTAACAACTTGACACACTTGGAATTTTCCCATGACTCTGACTATGGCCCAAATGTATTAACGAAAATAACTGATGTTTATGTAAACTAAAATACCTGATACTGGTATAAATAAAAATAAGTTGTTATGTTGTGACTGAAATAACTGTCATGTCTGCCAAAGCGAATACTGTAGGGTTGTTTTGACTTTCATGTGACTTTAATGTCATTGTGGTTTTTGTTTTTAAAAATTCTGTATCCCTGAGTTTCAGGACCCAGAGTCTCTGTGAGGCACTAGCCTAATCTTGGTTGTCAGCCAATAAAGGACTCTTACAGTTGGCTTAATAAGCATGTATCTGTTACCTTTTGAAGTGGATTGTTTCAGAACCAAATATCTACTTACAAAAAAAAAAAAAAATCTCACAACTATATATAAAGAAATTGAAAACAAACAAAAACTTTCCAAGATAAAAGGAGCAGAGGGAAAGGATGTCTCAGCAGATGAAGAGGCCTGCCATGAGACCTGAGACCTGAATTCTTCAGAACTCATGTAAAGGTGGAAGGAAATAACTAACTATGCAAAGTTGTTTTCTGGCACTCTGCCCACCACTGGTAATACTTTTTTCCTGAGGGTAAAATAAGATTGAGTATTTTCACAGACATGAAAAATCACCTCTAATTGTTTGGCACATGGTCCACTGACAAGTGCAGCCACGCCACTGTCAGATACCTGAGCAAAAGGGAAAAAGAAAGAGCATGGAACAGGGATGAAAAACTCTTCTGAAGTACACAGATCATGAAGAATAATTACTCCCATTCAGCAAACATACATTTTAGTCATATATTCTTCCATCTTTGTTACACAAAGTAGTTAATGGAAATATGTAAATCTAGTATAATCATTAAGCACTGCAGCAGGAAAGAAACTGACCCCTGAGTTGCTTAACCAATGAGCTGGATGCCCCTAACAAAAGACCACACTTTCTGTTTACTGAAAAGCACATCAAGCATGGTATACGAATGGAAGGAGTTTTATGCTAATCTTTTACAGAAGAAGGGAAGAAGTAATTTCTCTGACCCCACTGACACAGAACAGCAGCAAGCAAAACCACAAAGCATGTTATACCTTATACACTGTTCTGAGTTAGGGGCACGGAAAGGTCATAAGGGAGACACATTATTCTGTGTAAGGGGCATGACGTTGTTATAACTGAAAAATAAAGAATGTAGTTTGAGATAAAAGTTATGTGTTCAGCTTAGCTTTTAAAAGTTGATTACATGGAGAGATCAAAGTATAGTTCAAAGATTGATTAGGTTGTTTTTATTAAAGGTAAGTTATATTTAAACAAGGTGAATACACAGTATCTAGCTTATAACTTAGGTTATAAGGTTGGGCAAATGTATTTATGAAGGCATTCCAGAAAAAAAACATTCTCATACCACCTGTATCACGAAAAACTAATTATGGTATTCTGATTAGACATGGATAATAATTGGGACAGCACATTATTTACCTGAGTAGTTGAAAAGTCAACACATTGCAAAGATGGGCAGTTTTTTCCTAATGCATGTAAGGATACATCAGTGATACTTAGGCAGCCGCCCAAATCAATGATCTTTAGCAGCTGGCAGTTGAGTGCAAGAGCAAGGACTCCTTCATCTGTGACGCTGCAACATCCTTTCAAGGAAATTTCATGAAGGTCTGAACAGGAGGAAGCCAGAGCTTTTATTCCTGGGAGAAAACACATTTACTGTCAGTTAACTGTATGGTTATAAATGTATATTACAAAATTAAAAAATACCTAAAGAATTACCAGGAAAGAATTTCTTCAAGCATCAAAGGGACAAGGACTTCCTTTATGAGATATAAAAACGGGCAGGCTTTTGGAAACCTGTACGAAGAGACACCAGAGGATGCTTTTATACACGACTTCAGGCCTGTGGAAAGCAAGCCCTTTTGTCCCTGACCTAACATTCTCTGTTAGGTCACCCTGTGTATTCATGGTACTCATACCCACCTTGTCAAAGAACAGACCCCAGATTTGAGGGAGCTAATTACCTCACCAAGAATGCAGTAAGATACAGAGTACAGTTCTCAGAGTTTCCTTACTTTACCTTAAACTAGCTATATAATTTACCCTACCAATGTAGTCACAGGATACAATGCTTTACAGTTACTTTTGTCTTGTTGTTTTTTCTTTTTCTTTTTCCAGAGTTGAGGACTGAACCCAGGGCCTTGTTAGGCAAGTGCTCTACCACTGAGCTAAATCCCTAAACCCTTGTCTTGTATTTTAAAGTCATTATAGTTCCTTTTGCTTTGTAATCGTTTTTGTTTGTTTGTTTGTTTTTGGTTCTACTTGCTTTGTAGACCATACTGGCCTTGAATTCACACAGATCTGCCTGTCTGCCTGCCTCCCTAAGTGCTGGGACTAAAGGCATGCGCCACTGAACTCGGCTTTGGAATACTTTTCTCTGGGAAATTTGAATCTGTATCTTAAGACTATCCATATTTGGTTCAGAACAAACTATTTTCTTATCTCCTTCAAGTGAGTTCATTATTTTGCATCATATAATATAGGTAAATGCTCCACCATTTGTGTGTGTGTGTGTGTGTGTGTGTGTGTGTATGTGTGTATGTAAGAAATGTGACTAAGACTGTTTTTTATTTTAGCAATCACCAATTGTATGTTAGTCATTTTCAAAGTAGTCCATCCCACAACAAGCCAAGTATATCCAGGACAAGGTGTGGAGGCAAGGAGAGTAGACACAGCTTTGTTAGTGTGAGGGCTGAGGAAGGAGATATTTGAGGTAAAAAAAACCCAGATGAAGCCTTCGACTAGCTACTTCCAAGTTCCTGTCACTGGCAAAGAACTCGGAGACAAAGTAAGAAATCACTGGCAGGTTTACTAAAGGGAGTGTAGGATTCTCAAGAAAACATCATGACTTACAGGCTTTTCTTGGTAGGCCATGTGCTGTGGGGACAGGAGTGTTTGCCATCATGCATCATCCCGTGTTTCCTTTCTTTTTCTCTGGCCAGAACATCACAATGGACTTAGACCTTCTGTAGCTATATTTTTAATTTATACATTCATTCATGTCCCACCTCCTCTATCTTTACAGACAGGGACTCACTATGTGGTCCAGGCTGGCCTTGAACTCACAACAATCATCTTCTAGAGCACCAGAATTACAAATGTGAGTCACCATGACCAGCTTCCCATCTTAAAACAGACATATTCTGCACATTAAGTTTCATAGCTATTAACAAAAATCTAAGGAAAAACAGTATAAAGGCTAGATATTCTGGGTTCTATGGCTCTAAAGAAAGATTTGGCAATTTACATCTTTGCAGCAAAATGATGAGAGGAATGGTTGGGAAAAGAAGCAGAGAACAAATCCAAAGAACAGCCCTATTAGCTACTTATGAAGATATACGTAATTTTCTAGTGATGTTGAAACAGGCACTTAGAAACTGCTTTTGTTAAAAAGGACTGCATATTCACTTGGGCTGACAACTAAAAGCAGGATGTAAACCTGATATTGCTGTCCTTGTTTCACTTCTATAACTTTTACTTTGAGGCAGACAACATTTGGCTTTGATTATACAACATCCTCCTCTTATAATAATACACTTGGCAGCCTAGTTCCTTCATCTGCAAACACTATTTCATCTAGCACCTTTAGAACTCTTTCAGCCTTCCACCTTCATCAGGCTACTTGTACTCCCATCTCTGAAAAACAGTCCAAGACCCTAGAAACAAGTGTATTCCTACTGTATCTAGGTACAAAGAATAACATTCAGGATCACTTGGTTTTGTGTATATCACCATAAGACAAAATTGTGTCCTTTTGTGAACTTTCAGGGAGAATCTTCTATTTTCCATTTTGTGCCTATGCATAACTGGGCACAGAAGGGAAATTATAGGAAAGGACATACATAATAGGAAAAATTATACATGGCTTAATCTAGCAATCAAAATGAGAGCCACCTAAGCTATGCCTCTTATAATCAGCCCTCCTTAAGATCCCACTGTTGAAAAAACACTACTCTTACCTAGTTTATTCTAGAGCCTAAAATGAATGACTGTGGCCCTGGAACACTGGTTCAGCTTATTCCTAATTCCACGTTCCAAGTTAAGAGGATGTTTGAGCACATTGTGACCCTGAGATTGTATACAGGAAAAACCTGTTTCTAGACATGGTATGGCTCAGCCCTAGCCACACTGTTAATCCTCTCTGTAAACAGGATTAAATACAGTTAACCCTAGATCAAGAGGCATAGTAAGCAACCAGTTGACAGGGAGTGAACATAGGAAACAGCCATAGAGAGTGAGAAGAAGTCCGGAGGAAACACACAGGAAGCAGAAAGGAGGAACATTCTGTTTAAGGGGTTTTTAAAGACAGTGTGGAGAAGGAGAAGGTAATTTTTTCCTTCTGGGATGTTGGCTGAGTAGGAAGGTCAGTTGAGTGCTTCCTCTACCTTTCTGAGTTAACAGGCTTTCACCCCAGCATCTGGTTCCTGAGTTTTCATGGTAAAATAAAACATTTGGCATTTTGTTTAAAAACAACAGTTTCATGATATTTTTATAATAGAACTAAGAAAAGCATGAATCAGGACACTTTATTGTTTAAATAAAAGAAAACATTTAATTGGGGCTTGTTTTACAGTTTCAGAAGATGATTCCATGACCATCATGGTGGGAAGCAAGGCAGTAGGCAGTAGGCATGGTGCAGGAGCAGTTGCTGAGAACTCACATCTGATCCATAAACAGGGCTAAAGAGAACAAGGTGGGGGCCTGGTGTGGGCCTTTGAAGCCTCACTGTCTACCCCCAGTGCCACACTGTCTCCAGCTAGGCTACCCTCCTAATCCTTCTTAACAGTTTACCAACTAGGGATCAAATATTCAAATATACGAGCCTACAGTCTCATTGAAACCAATACATATCTTGCTCCACGTGGCTCTTAGTGGCCTCTGGTTTACATGAATTGCCTTTTACAAGGGAGGACACGTGTTCCTGGCCCAGGCCACACTGCTAGCAAGTGTGAGATCTGACTTCAGGGCTGCTTGCTGTGTCTGGAGGATCATGTGTCGAGGCAGGAAGCCAGACAAGCTTCTGGGATTGCCCAAAATTGTGTCCAAACATCCAGATAGCCAGCTTCCCTGTGGGGCCAGGCACTCTGAAGGAAGCTCTTTGTAGGCCTATGGCTTAGGCATCCAGGGCAGCCATATGCTCTCTAGCCTTGTGAGCACAGCAGAGGCCACTCTGGCAGCAGACACTCCCCTCTCAGGCATTTGTGTCAGATTGTGCTTGGTTTTCTTCTATCCACCTGCCCCTGCCTCCCTCAGTCATAGGAGCTGAGGTTCTTGGGCTGTCTTTATGGGGTCCAGCTGACTCCAATGTCCTGATATGGAGCCTAGTGGCTAGGAATGGACAGCTGGTATGCTTCAATTTCCACAGATGGCCAGGACATATGAGTGGCAAGGACAGCCAGCACCAGAGAAAGGCCACTTTCTACAGTGGGCCCACCAAGTGGCAGAATATCCCTGACATGCCCAAGGAGGCATCTTTTCTTACCACCAGTTTTCCAATGCCCACTCCCACAGCCCTGCCCTGCCAGGGTGTTGTCAGCATTTTGCTACTTTGTGGATTCTTCTTTCTTCTACCTTTCTCCACCACTTTCCTTCCATCCTTTTAACCCCCTAATACTAGATAGGAGAGAAAGAAAGGATAGAGAGGAAAGAGGGAGATGTTATTGTTAAACTACTTTCTGTTGATTAGAGGTGTTGATCTCTTTGGGGCAAGTTTTATCTTTGCTGTCAGGTTATCTAATGTCCTGTTGTTGTTTCTTCTTTGCATACAACTACTCAACCAACAAACAACCACCTCTCTTGTGGCCCCAGCATTTATATCCCTCTGAAAAGTCCCCAGAATTCCATATGTCACACAATGACAGAAACTATCTGCAGCTGGCAAAATCACTCCTGCTAAAGCAGGAGGTAAATCATAGTCAGCTGCTGCAAAGCAGCCTCATATCCCACACCTGGGTTTAAAATTGAAAACACATTCCTACAGTATTTCTGTGTTTTTAGAGAAACCAAAATTCCCAAATTCTCACTACACCAGGGTTTCATGCCCTCTGGGCTCTGTCTTAAGTCAAAGAAGGGAGTTTCTGGCATGGGTGAACACTGCAGATTTGGGGGAAGGGACAGTCCATTGTATACTCCATGGCTGGCAATGACATTGGTTTGCTCTGCCAAACTCAGAGCTATAGAGCTGGCAGAGGAATAAGCCTGAGATGATTTTACCGAAGAAGAGATGGCTTGTGAGTGGGAGGCCACTGTACTGACAAACCCCAAGAAGTCAGTGAGGCAAGGCCAGCCCAGGAGGCAAGGATGATCTCTATCCACAAGCAAGACATGCAGGGGTCCCAGAGAGCTGGTGAAATTAGGATTAAGGATTTGGTTCTGGGGAGCCCTCTGGCTGGCGGGTGTTGCCTTGGGAACAACCCTGTGTTAACCTAATATTCAGCCTAGTCTGGCTGTCCTCCTGGCCCGCTCAACCTCCTGTGGTCAGGATATACCTTTCCCTGGAGTCACCTGACCTTGTGTCATCTGGAAATGGTCATTCTCACAAGGTAAGATCTGCCTCACAGGTGAGGCAACAGGGTGCTCCAAGAGGTTAAAAAAATTCCAGCCTGCAGGAAAGCTCCTGAAGCTCGGGAAGTCCCTG